GCGGCACGGGCGGCCTGAGTGAGGGACGGGCGGGGACTGTAGCGCTCCTCCCCGCGTTTCCCCCGGCATTTCTCCCCGTGTTTCCCCCTGCGTTTCCCGGCGCTCCCTCTGTCTGAGAGACACTCATCGGACCGGAGCAGCGGTATCGGCCCTGGGCGCGGTTCACCGCCCTATTCCTCTGGAATCTCCCACAAGGCCGCGGTGAGTGAGGGAAAGTCCCTAGGGCTGAGGGGGAGTCGTTCTCGAAGCGTTTCGGTTGGGGTCTGTGTAAACCTACGGCGCTGAGGGCTGACCCCAGCGCGGTGCTGGTCGTGCTGAGGTGTATCTTGGCACAGCTGCAGACGGGAGGGAATCCCCTGAGCCTGCCTGAGCCTTGGTGTTAACTTCTCCTAACCTTTCCTCTTCTAAGGTGGCTCCGTCATGGATGACACCGTTGCTGAGTTTATCCGAAGAACTGTGTTAAAAGTCCCACGGGATGGAATCAAGGACGTGCTGCAGAAATGGGGTTTTCTCTCCGAAGCACAGCTGCAGACCCTGAACGTCTGTCAGACCAAGGACCACGTTGCTCAAGATGTTGTTCAGCTGTGTGAGGCAAGTCCTTTGGGATCTGGCAGTGATATACAGGATACGTGTTGAAGCACTACCAAAAGAACATTGCTTGGCCACAACACAGCAGCAAAGGGCAGTTTGTAGTCTGGAAGATGTAAAGCTGAGCTGGTAATACCATCAGTTTTGTCTGATTGATAGGAGTGTGGAATTGACCCATACTAAGTATGCAGGTACATGTTTTGAGCTCACCAGGTAGCTAAAGCTCAGTGAGTTACATCTTCAAAGTGAGTTACATCTTCAAAAATGGGTGTATGTCTAAATTGTGAAATAAAGGCATTGACTGGGATGTCTAGTCATTATATAGTGCTGATTTAAATCTATTTAGTATGGGTAATGACAGTGCTAGTTTATGTTTTTAAGACTTTCCAGTTTTATTTTTTAAACTTCCTTGGCCAGAACTACTTCTGTTCAGTGTACTGTAAGCAAAAAAGAATTCTCTAAGTCTTATTTTGCTCTACCAGGAATCCTTATACATACCAGAAGTCTTTATAGTGTCATAACTGAGATAGATACCATTATTATTGATATATTTTAAATTCTATAGCTTTTTCTCTCATTCTCTTTGAATTTCGTACTCAGAAATGAATCACCTGGAGTGTAGATCAAACTGCAGGAAAGAAGCTAATAAGTTCTTCCCTGTAAGATACCAAATATCTTATTTTAAAATAGCTTTTGTTTCTGAAACATTTGTGTCTGTAACAAGTTGTGTCATGAAGTTTCATAAAAATCTCTTCATACTGTACAGGTTAAATAAGGAGAAACCAAACACTTTAAAACACTTAACAGTGAAATACTTGTCAGTGTTGCATTATGCCATGAATACCCATTAATTGTGCTTTCTAATTGCTTGTACATCTAACTGTAAGGACAATGTTCTTGCTGCCTCACACAGGGGAAGACTTAAACCTTGCTGAAATAGTTTTCATGATTGATTTCTTAAAACTGTTGTGTGCACCCTGGGACCAGGTGTGGTGTCTTTGAGGAGGGAGTGTGTGCTGAGGGCTTCAGTGCAGTGTGATTTAAGTGATCAATACTGAGATGTTTTGGTTGCTAAACAGTGTGACAAAGCATTCTGGACCTGCAGTTCACCATGCACTGTTGTTCTTTCTAGGAAAATTCTGCAGATATACAGCAAGCAGCAGTTCTAGATATCATTTGTAAGTAAAAAATGAATTAAAATAGGATATTTATTTTTTTCTGAGTAACTTGATAATACCTTTAATTACACAGTGATTACCCTAGTGCAGTACAGATGCGTTTGGTGTGAGCAGATCACGTTTTAGGTGATGAGTCTTATTGAATAGAGCTCAAGGGCTCAAACTCAACAAAAGCATATTTGCTTCTTCAAGGTCTGAATAGATGTGAACTGTGGTTCATATATACATGCAACGCCAGGCTGGATGAAGCTTTGAACAACCTGCTCTAGTGGGGAGGTGTCCCAGCCCAGGTTAGGGGGTTGGGACTAGATAATCTCGCAGGTCCATTCCAACCCCTAAAATTCTATAACTCTATACACCTGTGTCATGCCCAGCACACAGTTATAAATACAGAGAGATAGGCTGGACTCTAGTACACACCAAAGTCAGTAATTCCGTGTTCCAGCAGCAAGTAGTGACATAGGTGAAATTATCGGCAAATACTCCAGTTGGAACTCTTAACTCCAATATTAGTTCACAACTGAATTATATAATAGTTTAAATTTCAAGTATTCTTTTAGCACTCTAGAGGTCTCACATTTGAGTTTTGGTCACTTTAGGTAGAACTCTTTCTTAAATACTGAACCTCAGAGATGCCCTTTATTAGCTGCTCACTGAACTACAAAAGAACTTCCAATCCCTTTTAATAAAAAGCTATTTTGCTTTTATGTTTACCATGAGAACGCTGAAAAAGTCACTAATTCTGTTAGCAGAAGTTACCTTTTTTTTTGAAGCAACCTGTTTGTAAAAGCATTGTAAAACTGTTTCTCTAATGGCTATATGATAATACACTTACGTTATTGAGTGATTCTTATTTTTCTTAGACACCCACGTCTATCAGAATAAAAGAAGGTGGAGTGTTTACCGGATGAAGAAAACGGGTAAGATGTTGTACCTGTACTTGCTGCAGTCCCACAGTTCTCAGCAACTTAGTGCTGTTCTGCCTCATATCCTACGTTTTAAACACAAATATAATCTAGTTCAGGATTTTTTCTGTGTGGGCATTTTTAGCTTCTTACTGCAGTGTAGTATGGATTTTTCAGTGGAGATATCTAATGTTTTTAGAATACTTTCCATCAACAAGCAATTATTAGAAATTAGCATTTCTAATATTAATATGTTAACCTTTTCTCTACATAGCAACAATGAGGGTCAGAATTAACACAGAGCTCTCTGTATGTGGCTGTGCAACTTAAGCTTTTTCTGCTTAGCTTTGTTTCAACAAAACTAAAACCATCTCTGAACTAGTCCCTGTACACACAATTCTTACTTCTGTTTTGGTGTTTTTCCTCTTGTAACAGGAGAAGAAGTGGAATATTTTGGCCTAACAGATTTCAAAAAGAATTTGGTGTTTTTCCTCTTGCAACAGGAGAAGAAGTGGAGTATTTTGGCCTAACAGATTTCAAAAAGAAATTCAAAAGCAGAATTTGGTCAGCCTTGAAAAATGTAAGAATAAATCCATTCTAAATTGGTTACACAGCTCTGGTGTCAATATGTTGTTTTCACAACTTTTACTTACAGTTTGTGTCAAAAATTAAATGGAATTATTCATTTGGGAATGGTAGGAACTACATGTGAAATAGTTAAAATGTATCGCATAGCTGTTCTAGCAGCTTCACAATTATGCTGGAGGGAAATAAAATGAAAGCTTGTCTTAAAATGTGACTGGCTTCAAGAAAGGCAGTGTGTTCATGCTTTCCAGCAGATCTTTGCCCTGTTTGAGTGTGTATGTTGCCCAGATAAGCTGATATTGCTTTGTGTGTTACTCAGTGACAACAGACAACAAAAATCATATCAAATGGATTATTAAGGGAGTAGCCACTAAACAGGTCAAGGAAATTCAGATATAACTTAGATTAATAGCAATATTGTATTCATTTCCTTTTAGTTCTGGTTTTGAAAGCGTATCTTGTGATGTCAGTGAGAACTTGGCTCTAGGGTTTCTTTACATTATAATGACTGAAAGGAGCACTGTCAATAGCAAAATGCAGTTTCTAGACTGCAGAAATGAGCATGGGAAGGAAAAAAGGGGGAAGGAAATTCTCGTCTCAGCTTTTTACTAAGCAATTTGCTTTAGCTCAGCAGCTTCATTTAGGCAAGGTAATGGAAAATGCCTCTGGCTAATTACCTGTGTCACTCCTTGACACCCAGTGCATTCCCACTGATAATGGGAGAGGGCAGCAAATACCAATCAGACTCAGCCAATCAGCTGCAGTTCACAACACTCTTATAATCAAGTTTGCAATATTTGTAAAAAAAAAAAAAAAGCACTAAAACTTGGCTTAATGTTGGTCCAGCAATTTAAATGGTTTATGCCCTAGTTAGACTGAGAGCTTGGTTACATCTGCCTCAGCCAAAAAGTGAGTCAATTTCATTTTTAAAAGGAAAATTTTCAGCTCAGTCACCCAGACTGAGTCAGGGTAGAAATAAGGAAACAAGGAGGAAATCTACAAGAATAGGAAAGGGAATCTTCAGATTTCTGATTCTGTATTCATGAGCAGTGATAGGTATAATATTCAGGTATAAAGTCACAAGTTGTTCAACAGTTTAGTTTCTCACAAAATGAGCATACTGGAATTATTGCCACTATTCCTCCATCTAAACAGATATCTTTGTGTATTGTTATCTTCCCCAAAAATATATCAAGGGTGTTTTTATTTTCACCCTTCAAAAGAAAATGTATATTAACAGGAAGAAAAGTAGCATTAGAGTTTTGGATGGTGATTCTTCTTTTTATCTGTTTGTGAGATTGTTTTTCTGTGGAAATTTGACTTAAGTACAATCTTGACCAAAATAGTGAGTTTTGTTTCTTATCTTATGTTTGGGCCTTGTGAGCACAGGGTTAAGAGATGACAAAATCTTTATGGACACCCAAACGTGCTGGTAAATCAAAGCTTTTCTTTTTGTATCAGGTCACTATCACCTTCAGAGAATATGAGGATAATGCAATCTGGATTAGAGTTGCCTGGGGAACACCACACACAAAGCCAAACCAGTACAAACCCACCTATGTTGTGTACCACTCACAGACTCCTTATGTCTTCATTTCTGCCTCACTGCTGAGGGGCAATTTGCCCCTGCTGTATCAGGTAGAGAACAAAACTGCATAGACCTTAACTTCACCACAGTCACCTAGAGCTGTAATTGTGTTAGTTTTTAAGAGGATAGATAAAGATTCTTCATTTAACATAACTTAGATATTGCATATATTTTTTCTTAGCTCATGATAAAGATGAGCCAAAAAACCAAATCTGATTGGTGCATCATGAATAAATTCAGTTTATTGGGATTTTTACGGACCTTGAATTGTTCTGATTACTTAACCAAGTGTTAGTGAGTGTTCAGTTGTCTCCTAGAAGTTGAAGAACATTGCATCAACACAGTTAACTTTAAGAACTAAACACATGACTTCATTGGAGAATGCGATTAATTAGTTTTAAAATATGTTTTCTGTCAACATGTCGTGGTCACTGTGGGTAGTCTTTCATTTTTACCTCTATTTAGCAAACTTCTGTAGTAGTAATTTAACTATTTTATTATTCTGTTTATTTGTCAGCTAATAAGGCTGCAAGGTTTATCTTGTTATTCCTGTGAATGCTTTCAACTGTTAACCTAAGCTTAATAAGTCTATGCAAGGGTTTTTTTCAGCCATGAGAATCCTAGTTAAAGGGCAGTTGCTTACCCTGAAACAAAACCATCACAATGTCTAGATATACTATACTTTTTACATATTATAAGCACAGTGATGATTAAGACTGATGTTAAAACAATTTCAATTTTTATTTTAAGGCCCTGATTGTTGCTTCCAACTACCATGAAATCCATGAAATGGAGCTTCGAGGTCATTCTTTAGACTCCCTGAAAGATATTGTGTTTAAGAGATATAGCCAGGTGAGCCACTGCACAGGTGAATCCTAAGATAAGTCTTGCTTTTTGTTACAGGCCTAGTTCTCACCCCCTAATGGGGGAACATTCACCTTTTCCAAGAGATCATCAAGTTAAAATAATATTGAGCTACTGATGTGCACAGACTTTGATGAAGGTAACATAACAATGGGGATGTAATTGCTTGGTATCCCAACTGTTCTTTATTATTGCTATTCCTGATGGCTAAACTCCAACCAAAACTTGTATGAACACTTCAGTCCTAGGATTTTTTAGCATAATTTTACTAGGCTACCTCAAGCCATGAGGCATGAGCTGAAGGCTGTTACACTGCTTATCCCTGGAAAACTTGTAAATAGGGAAATGTTCATCCTAGGATGGCCATTTTTTTCTTAAAATGTTTGGCTTTCTGACTTCTAGTAATGGTCATAAATTGGAAGAATGCTCACTTTCAGAATGAGAAGTAAAAAGAAAGTGGAAGTGAACTAAAAATCTTTTTGTCTCTTTCCATTTAGCATTTCCAAACGTGTTCTCCGACACTTGTACAAAGCACTGTAGAACCAGAAAGTGGTATGTATATCAGAAATTACTGCTGGCTTGTGAAATGAGATTCATAATAGGAAATGTAAATGTTAGCCCTGGTACTGGCAGTCACTGGGAGAGGTCAGTACTTCCCCATGACTGGCATTAGACACAGGTATGAAACCAAAAACACTCGATGCCTAGTATTTCCTTTCACATTAGCTTGGGTTTTTTTCTTAGTAAGAACTAAAAATATAAATTATGGAGACAACTACCTTATCAAGGTAGTGCAAGGTGCTGGGCCATTGCAATCCCAGGCACACCTACAGGTTGGGTGGGGAAGTAATTGAGACCAGCAGTGAGGAGAGAGACTCAGGTGTGATGGTGGATGAGAAGCTCACCATGAGCTGCAGTGTGAGCTTAGCCCAGAAAGCCAGTCAAATCATGGGCTGCATCTGAAGGAGTGTGGGCAGCAGGTCGAAAGAAGTGATTCTCCCCCTCTGCTCTCGTGAGACCCCACCTGGAATGCTGCACACAGTTCTGGTGCCCTCAGTGTAAGAAGGACGTGGAATTGTTGGAGCAAGTCCAGAGGAGGCCA